AGCGATCATGGCAACTAATACACGTGGATTTATTGCCGCGGTTTGTGTTCATTTCTAAATTACGATTGGATAAACTCGCAATGAGCTTTTTCATCTGCTCCTTTATATTATTTATTTATTTATTTATTTTGTTTATTTTTTTTTTATTTTTTTTTTTTGTTCAATATTTTTTTACTTTTATTTATAATACTTTTTTCAAAGTTTCATTCTTAGCTAATGCTCGTAAAATATACTGGGATGAGGGAGAGCGTACAGTCGTTAAAAATCCTTGAATAATATATTGTATTTGTACAATGAAATTAATATCGATTTTGATGAATCGCTGTTATTTACGTGCCGCTAAATTAAAACGATATTGCAATTATTGCTCGAGTGCGAATCCATGCTGCTCGAAAGAATTCAAAAAGATTTTATAGTCCATCGAGACAGTTTGCCAAGTTAATCACGCAGTAATAATTATCTCTAAGCGCAATCAATTAGCTCATTATTAAAGGAAGAAAAGATATTATATGTTAGAGAGCAAATAGATAAATTTAGCATTAAAATTAAATTGTTTTGAAAATACTAATTGACGCTATATTATTTATTAATGTGCACTTGCGATCGAAGGCCAATCGCGTTTCAATGCCAATAATTAACGGGGCATATCGAGATTTTATATAATGCATCCGTTGCATTTATTCGTCGTTCATCTAAGCGTGCAGCGGATCGTCACACACTAATATTTTACCAAAACGAATTCAAGTTGAAAGTTTAACGCACCATGGCGACTTGGCTTTGCTTTCTTTTTTCTCTCTCTTCTTCTTCTTCTTCTTCTTCTTCTTCTTCTTCTTCTTCTTCTTCTTCTTCTTCTTCTTCTTCTTCTTCTTCTTCTTCTTCTTCTTCTTCTTCTTCTTCTTCTTCTTCTTCTTCTTCTTCTTCTTCTTCTTCTTCTTCTTCTTCTTCTTCTTCTTCTTCTTCTTCTTCTTCTTCTTCTTCTTCTTCTTCTTCTTCTTCTTCTTCTTCTTCTTCTTCTTCTTCTTCTTCTTCTTCTTCTTCTTCTTCTTCTTCTTCTTCTTCTTCTTCTTCTTCTTCTTCTTCTTCTTCTTCTTCTTCTTCTTCTTCTTCTTCTTCTTCTTCTTCTTCTTCTTCTTCTTCTTCTTCTTCTTCTTCTTCTTCTTCTTCTTCTTCTTCTTCTTCTTCTTCTTCTTCTTCTTCTTCTTCTTCTTCTTCTTCTTCTTCTTCTTCTTCTTCTTCTTCTTCTTCTTCTTCTTCTTCTTCTTCTTCTTCTTCTTCTTCTTCTTCTTCTTCTTCTTCTTCTTCTTCTTCTTCTTCTTCTTCTTCTTCTTCTTCTTCTTCTTCTTCTTCTTCTTCTTCTTCTTCTTCTTCTTCCTCTTCCTCTTCTTCTTCCTCTTCCTCTTCTTCTTCTTCTTTTTTCTCTCTCTTTTTTTTTCCTTCTTCTTTTTTTTTCTTCATCTTTTTTTTTTTTTTTTTTTTTTTTTTTTCTCTTTTTTTTTATAATTCAGCGACTAATTAAATAAAGTATCCGAAGACTCGTTATCCGACCTTATCGTGTCAAATCCTTGACCGAACGGGCGGCAAAGTACAGAGCGGGACAAAGAATCATTCGTGAGCGGCACGGCGAAAGGGAAAATTACGACGACGCTTTATGTAGGAATGAGCGCGTGTTGTGCGCCACCACCGACGCGCGCGAAGGAAGTAAGTCCCTTCGACCAATTAAAAAAAATAAAAAATAAAAGAAAAAGCAGTGGGAGAGAGAGAGAGAGAGAGAGAGAGAGAGAGAGAGAGGAAACGAAAAGAGAAGAAATAACCTAATATAACGTTCTCGCCGCGATCTTTACGTAACGAAACCGCATATCGCTCATTTTTAATGGGATGAGATTATTTATTGCCAGCTCGCATGCGCGCTAAGGATAAGTTACAGAGTAGACGCAATTAGCGAAACGTTCGCTACACTCTCCGAGTTGTAAAGAAATTCAGATACTTTTTTATACGTACGTTTCATTCAAGGCGTGCAGTGCCCAGTGCCTTTTGCATAGTGGACGGCGTAATTAGTTCGTCATAAGACCGTGCTTACCGGATAGGTAAATAATGGTAAATTTAATAACTTTTTTAAAAAAAATGAGCGAACGGTTCGCGATGATAGATTATGAATTGAATGTGTTATAATTATTCGCTACCTAATTCCCTTTTGTCAACCCCATTATACGGTACCCTCTCACCAATGATATTACGCATTTTAATCGAATGCTACGATTCACCTTTGCTCGCCTTATGCCCTAAACTATTTACCATAACAATAACAATAAATGAAGTTTTGTTGTATTGGTGGTTGATGTAAGGCATATCGCATTACATACGATAATATACACTTTTAAAGAACTTTCGTGCTATTAAGCTATTATTGAATTAATAAAATCAATAGTTAACAATAATTAACTTACTTTGACTATTTAATAATTTTCATTGCTACCGTTTTATAAGTATTTTCCATTTGTCACGAGATATGCGTTCGTGTAAGTTATAATCGCATTGAATTTAAAAGAATCGCTTTGTACGCTTTGCGATTCAAAGATTTATTTCTCATTCTACGCATAATTTTTGCATCTTTTCTTTTTCGCTCTGTCTTTTATCATTCTTTTTCATTCGGAAGTCTTTATCATTTACACTAATTCTTAATCCTCAGCGCGTATAATTAAGATTCTAGTACATTATCTACGTATAATAAAACAGCTATTACATTTTTAATAATCGTCATGGTATGTTTAATTTTTTTTTTTTTTTTTTTTTTTTTTTTTTTTTTTTTTTTTTTTTTATACATAATTAAAATATTAAAAAGTACCTATCGTACATAATAATTATTAACTCTCATAATAGATTCTTACTCTTATCAGGACAGTGGCGTGATGCAGATAAACATTATCTAATACAGTGTAAATTACATAATACATAAGCATGTAGCACAAATATTACGTTTTTACGATGTTTTAGCTTAATACGAACTTTCATTAAAACTTAAGGATATTACGATTCTGAAATAATAATGTAATGCAATTAAAAGCTATCGTTTGAAATAAATAAATAATTAAACATAAGATAAGTATGAGTAATTATATATACTAATATATACTATATATGAATATATTAATGCAAGGGAATTTCATTTTAAAATAAAAGTAAAATCCACTTTAATTATTAAAAGATGTAATTAAGCTTTTGGCGTACTTTTTAAAATATCTTTGATAAAATGACAATCGGGATATATCAATCCATTAATTAATTATAGAATTTGAAAAATTGTATCGAACGAGATTGCTTTTTAATGAATTTACAACGACTACTGTATTATTGGATATAGCGGTCTATTGGATAAATTATTCATTAAGTTTCATAGTTCGTAGTTCATAGTTTCCCTACTCGAACATTATTAAACTCTGTTGAGTAATGCGAGAGTTGATTGACGAGTGACTTTCATTAATTGTCGGGCCTACGTTTACATACTTACTGCACTATTGGCAAAAAAAGTCATAAAGTATAAAGCGGCAAATTTGGCATACGCGCTATCAAGATTTCACGAAAGCCCAGACCAGCCCGACATTCGCTTGCTCCTAACGCCTCGCGCTAAAAATAAATGGCGCACAATGCCATTTGTTAAGGCGACATTGGAGCGAAGATGGAAGCAAAACAGTAGCAACATCGGCGCCTGGCACATTCATCTTGCATTCAATCGCGAGCAATCGACGCCACTTCAATTCCTCTCGGATGGGAGCCGCCCTCGCGGGACTTTTTCGTCGCGGCGCGGGCCGATCGATCATTTCGTCGCCGGGCCGGGCCGAATTCGGAGCTGGAGAAAAACGGACCGAAGGAGAGGGCCCGCGACCGATAAATCAGCCGGCGAATCGAGCGCCCGCGACTTTTCTCAGCGCGACCCTCGCCGACAATTCCGTAAACTCGCGCGCGCACGGCCTCGCGCATATTTACGTACTTTTTGCACGGAGATGATGATGATGCGTCGGCTCCAGCGGTCGGGAGAAAGTACAGTTGCACGCCCGAGGATATTGAAGAAGGATGCACGATGGGTGCAATCGCTGGGGATTGGTTGGGAATGGGCGATCGAGGCGGGATTTGTCACGCTCTGCGAGACGACGTCCACTTGAAAAATTTGGTACGGCTCATTAGAATATTAGAATGAGTTTCCTTCGTGGACGTTGACCGACGAGCGTCCGCTTTACGATAACGTCCTCTTCTTTTTGCAGACTGACGTGTCTACGATTTGCCCAATCGACGCACTAATGCAGACTTTTTAGTCTCGTCGTTTATATTTTAGCAGCCATATGTAGTAATGTGGTAATGCGTGCGACGGGTAAAGAAGGCGTCTTTGTCTACGTAATGCAGGTTGAACGACGTTGAAGCGATTAGCCTATGTATTTCCTAATATATCATCTACGGCAACTCCTCGCAATTTTATGGGAAAATTCTTCAATTATTGTTGATGTCGAGCTATTCAATTTGGATATAATCGATTGGATTATAATTGCTTATAATTGTGCTGGATAACGACGATATAAAATTCAATGTGTCCCAGAGCCAAATTGGCAATGATATTTGCCGATTTCTCGAGCGTTTAGTTTAGCGTAGTGAATTATTTGTAAAAATAATAGAAATTTTCGAACGTTGTTCATAAATAATGGTAAAACAATTCACAGAGAATTGTCATTCTTAATATGCGAAGTAATGCGTGCAAAATACTAGTAAAAGAAAGTAAGAAAGGAAGAAAAGACAAAAAGAAAACAATATAATATTGTGAAAAATGATATAGTTATACATTAATTATAATTTCTACGATTATATAGATATATAATTAATATATAACGGGAAGTAAGATATTATAATTTAAAGCGATTGTTACTCCTGGATAAATCTTCTCTCCTAGCGTCTACTTTTAATTATAAAGTATAAATTTAATTGTATAACTAAGTTAACTCGCATTTTCATTGCAGGATCGATGGAAATAATTCAACAAACAGTTAGCAAGTTGTATTACAAATCATTTCCGAGGCCGGATCTTGGAATTTAATTATAACAAAAGGTAAAAAGGTATTTATACAATTTTAATACTCCTGGATTCATTTTGAATAAAGTAGCTTTCAATGTACCTATTAGTATAGGAAGATTAGACCTTTGAAAAATATTTTATCGATATCCTTAATTTCAGGATGCTGCATCATTCGTTCGACTTCAATGTCTGCAACCACAAATATTTACAACCGCCATAGAAGAGAAATCCTCAGTTCTTAACAGCATCCACGATGAAATTGAAACATCTATTTACCCAATCAATTCAATATTGATTCTCAATTGACTTTTAATCGACTTTAATGACATTGTATTAATATATATTCAATATATACAACATCGAGAAAGCGTGAAAAAATATCCGACAAATATAATCGATATATCGTGTTTTTATACATTATAATAAATTAAAATATTATTATTAAATCATTATTAACAAATAAGCGTTGGATGGAATGTTTAAGTCATTCTAACTAGTCGAATCCTCTCATAGTCTTTTGGACTTGGCTACGGCCAATATCCTATGCTCATTAAATGACTTTCTCTCTCTCTCTCTCTCTCTCTCTCTCTCTCTCTCTCTCTCTCTCTCTCTCTCTATGTGAAATGCCACGATTCATAAAAATAAACGTCAATATAATATACAAATAACTCGTCCAAAAGCTTATTTTTTTATTCTTATTTTACTCGTAATGTGCTCGCTCGTATAATTCAGCTAGCCGTATGAAAACATTAGCCAAGAAAAGTGGAACGAAAAGAAGTCTGCGGAGAAGGATAGAGAACGATAGGGCTCACGTCGGATTCTCACGAGCACGAGGAATATATAGCCTCCATCGCGCGATTATTATTCGTCGATCAATTCACTATAAAACCTCGATGATTTAAAAGGAGATGCAGAAACTAGTTGAAACTCCCCCTCGGTAATCACAGCGAGATCAATAAGCCTCATCGTGCGCTCGAGATGCCGCCGTTCGAGTTTGCATGGCCACCTCCTCCTCCTCCTCCTACTCCTCCTCTTCCTGCTTCCCCTTTCCCGTGCAGCTAACCTCTTTCTTTCTCTCGAGCTCTTGTGGGTCCTTAATAAGCGGTTCGCCGCAGAACAATCCGATTAATTCGAGAGTGGCTTGTCCGACGCTATTCGGCCCTGTGCTTCTTGGACCGACGCGCGGCATTTCTCCCTCACCCCCACCCCCTCACCCTCCAACAGCCATACCACCTCGTGTTAGTTCTATCTCTCTCTCTCTTTCTCTCTCTCTCTCTCTCTCTCTCTCTCTCTGTGAAATGCCACGATTCATAAAAATAAACGTCAATATAATATACAAATAACTCGTCCAAAAGCTTATTTTTTTATTCTTATTTTACTCGTAATGTGCTCGCTCGTATAATTCAGCTAGCCGTATGAAAACATTAGCCAAGAAAAGTGGAACGAAAAGAAGTCTGCGGAGAAGGATAGAGAACGATAGGGCTCACGTCGGATTCTCACGAGCACGAGGAATATATAGCCTCCATCGCGCGATTATTATTCGTCGATCAATTCACTATAAAACCTCGATGATTTAAAAGGAGATGCAGAAACTAGTTGAAACTCCCCCTCGGTAATCACAGCGAGATCAATAAGCCTCATCGTGCGCTCGAGATGCCGCCGTTCGAGTTTGCATGGCCACCTCCTCCTCCTCCTCCTACTCCTCCTCTTCCTGCTTCCCCTTTCCCGTGCAGCTAACCTCTTTCTTTCTCTCGAGCTCTTGTGGGTCCTTAATAAGCGGTTCGCCGCAGAACAATCCGATTAATTCGAGAGTGGCTTGTCCGACGCTATTCGGCCCTGTGCTTCTTGGACCGACGCGCGGCATTTCTCCCTCACCCCCACCCCCTCACCCTCCAACAGCCATACCACCTCGTGTTAGTTCTATCTCTCTCTCTCTTTCTCTCTCTCTCTCTCTCTCTTTCCCTCACGCGCGCACGCGCTCGCGATTCTCCTTTTCTTGAGCTCTCGGCTTTTCTCCTTCTTCGCGAGCTGGTGCTCAATCCGATAGGTCTTCGACTTAGGCAGGCACATGGTCATCGACGTATTACGTTAATGATAGTGTTTCTCCGAGCATTGCTCGAACGTGACTCGTGCGCCGCCAGTACGGTTCTCCTCTACTCACCAGCCATCGTTGAATATGAGAGGACTCGTGCGGCTCGTATGGCTGAAATTATTTTTCGTAGCTTTCGTTCACGTGGATCGATGTTACTACCAGAGTATTCCTTTTAAATCGTCGATACTTCCATCGCACGACCACCAACCATCGCATCTTTCCATCCACGTTCTTTCATTCATTCTCATCGCACTTGGACGTTTCTTTCATTTGTCACTGTTTTGAAGGAAGATTTTTGTTGCTAATTGCTCACGCGCACTCCTGCATTGCCGTTCATTAAATTGAAAAATAAAAAAAAAAAAACAAACCAAAAAAAAATTATTCTTTCCCTCTTGATTACTCGTTTAAGTAGGCACGTTCGTGCTGCAAGTAGACCTGTACAAGCTGCTTTATCTATTTTATGGGGATATAGCCCGTATCAATACAAAAACATTTTCTTTTCGATAATGAAACTATAAGAAATACACGATACTATCGATATTATCGATTTCATAAAAGAATTTCATTTTGCATTTCATCCGACATTCTTGAATATCGGAAGCTCGTTGTTGTTATTTACATGAAAACAAAAAAAATTTATTTTTTTTTTTTGTAATCCATTATAATTGAATAATATGTAAATAGTCGAGTGCTTTTTGTAATATTATCAATTGTAATGATCCGTAAGACGGATTTAAAATGAATGTTTCGTAATTTTCTTATCGAGATAACAATTATTCAGACTCAGTATTTTATTACTTTGAAAATAAAGGGATTATTTTGATATTCTCCATTCTATATCTTTTCCATATAAAATATAATTTTTCTTGATCTCAACGGCATCAATCATTGCTCGTGACAGTAGATTATAACAAATCAAGTTAAAAACAAATTTTTTTTTCCCTTATCCTGTATCAAAATATAAAATGCCATTTTGTTTTAGGGATAACATCTTATTTCTCTATATACACGCGCGCGCTTATGTGGTATATGTGCACCTGCACGACCCTACACATGAGCGAGGTTGGGAATGTGCGAATCTTCTGTATTATTGGTCCATGCTATGTGGAAATACTTGTATACTACCAATCGACTATAATAGTTCACGAGACTGGGATAGGATATAATTCATTTCAATGCGATATTTTTCGAAATTAATCGTCACTATATCGTCGATAAATTTAATTCCAATCTTATAACAAACAATATTTTATAAACTTTGATTTTTTATTTCAAACATCAAGCTTTTGTAATGTTGTAATTTAATAACTTGCTTCATTATAATACTCAGGGCAATTTTTTATTATAAGCTTCTATTAATTCTATTGTAACCATTTATTTTTGCTGGATTTAAGAAAAAAAAAAGAAAAAAAAAACAGAACCAAGAAATTATTAATAACTTAGTTTAGCATTATATTTCTTTTATTGATATAAATACTTACGTACTAGTTGATGCGTAAAGAAAAATTTGATAATTGTTACTTTCATACTACATGTCATTCATAATTAAATATTATCGTAATATTATCGTAATATTATTGATTGTAATAATGTCGTAATAATTTATACACAAAAATTGTTAATTCTTAAACATACCGCTCTATTAACGTGTTCCATAATTTTTATTAATTTATAAATATCGGATTATCTATAATAAATATTCTTCTTATTCGTAAGCCTGATGTGTGCTTCTTTTATTCCCGGGCACATTAGACTCCTGGGAAAACATATAATTAATAGAAAGATAAATTAATGTGCGTATTCTATCATTATTAGAGGAAAATAATATCCGTATGCTTGTGCGCCTATCATAAGCGTACAAATATTTGAATGAACATGGTGGCAGATAAGAAATGGCCATGTCATTAGTTTGATGACTACATGTATTTTGACTCTCCAAACTACCACAATCTCATTGTGCAGCAATAGCGCAATAATCGAACATCTAACATAAGTATATTTAATCGTTTGAGATGACCTGATCGTAATGCAATTTTCACTCCCAATGTTTTCCCTCCGTTAATTGCTCGTATAATTTTAACGGTATTCTTACCATTTCGATTTAATTATATGCAAATGATCATAGATAATACTAATATTAAATATTAAATTAATTTTAATAATACTATTGCCAGACAAATAGTATAGTATTGTGTGTAAATTAAATTACTGATATCAAATAAAGATAATGTATGATACAATCATAACGATACCGTAATCATTATTTAGTTCTTGATAATCAAGAGAATGCAATCTCGGTATTTCATGAAAAATTAATTACAATTTTACGTTATAATTCTCTTTCATCGTTAAAAATGAAATATTTATCAAACAAATAAGCAAATTATGTTTTTAGCACCTAATTAAAGTAGTATGATAATTGATTTTATTCATTTAAATGTTATTTAAAATTATAATGAGTAGAAAATGTTAGTTGGACGTGTAGTTTTAAGGAGAGTAAAGAGACTTTTAGGTTATGTTAATTTGTCTTTCAGCTACAGAAGCGTACAAATGCTATTGGTCATCTAGTTTTATCGATTCTGACTTCAATTTAGATATCCGAATAATTTCACCTCTCTATGCAGTCTATAAAACATTTATATATAATATACAACGAATCTACCAATAGATAATTGTATTTCATTCTTTATTTATACAGAATGTAGGATTTATTGTTAAGGCAAATCTTGATGTAAGGATGCATCATTCTCTCAGGACTATTCTTATGCAATGTGAAAGCTCTTTTCATCATAACAGTTATTATAAATATATTTTGTGCGCTATATATAAAAACAATTATTACAGTAATATCTTCAATTAACTAAGCAGATATAGCAGATATACTTGTTGAAAATCTTGAATGAATTTTTGGGAAAATCGTATGCTCTCGTTATTCCGAGAAAGCTCTTTGTCAAATAACTCGTTAAAAAATTGGGAATTATGCTGCATTGTAATAGTTAAATAGGAAAACTAAATTTTCTCAACAAAAGCAGACACGAAAGTCTAGAGCTTCAAACTGATCATTGATTCGATTTTCCTACGTCAACTTGAATTTGACGAGAAGGTGTTTTGCGCGCATTCGTTAATCGCTCTTAGTTAGCTATTTGTCCCAGCGTATAATAAAAGTCATGAAACATTTATGAAATGGCGATTATGAGAAAATGATGAAGTTGAAATTATATCGTATCACGAAATGCACGCGGACTCCTTGGGGCCAAATGCGTGAGCGACGAGTCGGAGTTGTGCGCGCGGGAGCCCAACCACGGCACCAGGACGTTAAGGCCTTCATTCCGCGAATTTTATTATTGGAACTGGACGAGAGTATATGACGGGAAGGAGAGGATGAGGGTTAGGAG